AGGGCCATCTATGAGCTTTGCAGAGGGTGCATAGTTCCTTCAGTGTGTTGGACACTTTATTTTATTTTGTCATCATCTCTCCTGTTGCTAAATATCAACTTTTTCACTGGGAAGTAGTGGGTTTGGAGCTAGTTTTGGCCTTTTTATAGGCTTTGTTGAAATAAATAAAATATTAATAAGTATTGCTAACTTTATCCTTCAACAAAAAACAGCGTCAGCCCAAACCAACTTAAATATCTCACTTTATATGAGACAGAGAAGCTCAGACGGATATCAGCTGTGCCATCACCAGATGTGGGCTGGCACTGATGAGCTGACGTGACAATGCTTGACTTTGTATTCTGCATGAATGCTACACTCAATTTTTTGGGGGGATGTGGGCTCTATGCACATTTCAGATTCCACAGACCTCAGTTAGCATGTTAAATGTTTGAGTTCGTGACAGTACGGTTAGAAAAAGACTGAACTAGTATGATTTGTTCGGAAGTGTTTCCAGGAGAAAGCCTCTTCTCTCTCAAAAAGAACATACCGACATAACAGGTTTAGGTTTGCAAAGATCCATCTCAAGCACAGGACTTGTGGAACGATATCCTTTGGAAGATAAAACCAAAGTGAAGATGTTTGTGCTGATAAGCTGTGCTTGATGTCGGCCAGACATGGCCCTCTTCGTTATGCATTATGTCTCAACACCTCACACCAGCTGTGAAGCACGGTGGTGGAGGAGGCAGGATTTGGGTACCTTGCAGTTACTGGGCTGAGTATGAACTCCTCTGAATGCCAAAGTTTTGTAGAGTGAAGTGTGAGCACTGTTTGCTGAAATTGAGTCGTGCAATAGCGTGCAAACATCTTTACAACAGAATGACTGAAAAAGAAAAAAAGCAATTTGTTGCAGTGGCGCAAAGTCCAGACTTCAGCCTGACTGAAATGCTTTAGTGAGCTGTGGATAAATAAATGCCCCAAAACTTCAAGTGATATCAAGAAGACTCACGATGAAGTCCTATAAAAAACAATTACATCAAGTTATTGCTGCTGAAGGTGTTTCTAGAAGCTACTGAATCATGGGAGGCATAAAGTCCTGTGCAAACTTTCTTCACCAAACCCTCAGAGCTGGTGCAGCTTTGATACTTGCACATCTCTGTATTCCAACAAACAAACTACAGTACCAGAAATTTCCAGTCAGTCCCACAATAAGACCAGGGCTTTGGTTATTCACCTTTAAAATCCACTTTTTAACCTATTCCTGCATTCTATATATTATTTTAGGACATTTAATTTGGGTTACACAGAGCAAAATTAAAGCATAAATGATTTTGCATTTTAGTGTAGCCTGCTGCTTTCATAATAAACAGTGAGCGCTACTATATTTGGAGTTTTAGCTTCGTACTCATTGGCGTTCCAGTTCTCCAGCTCTCTGGAGCTAAGTCCTTTGCTGCTGTTATCATCCCAGAGGAATTGTCTGGTATTTTTGGCATCTGAGGCCCGAGTAGATTGTTGCATGTTTTTTTTTTTTTTGTTTTGTTTTTTTGTCCTTTTTTGATAACTTTGCAGTAAGCAAGCAAAGAAAGTTTGAGCTGTGACCATGTATTCCAGCCCAATGAGACTAAAACAGTTGATTTTAATGATCCCTTTTTTTCTAAGCTTCCAGGAAATGTTTCACATGGACATGAACTCTTTTCCTCCTTGTAGGACAACAAAAGGAGGTACATCGATTGTTAGGACTGAAACATGTCCCATCACTTTGTTTCAAAGACTGTCCAGCATGGTCAGATTCATCGAAGAGGTCGTCTAGTGTGATTTAGATTACATGGACCTATCAGGATATACGTGCTGCACTGTAAAAATATTACATCTCTGAACTCTTGAAAGGGGAAAAAAGTAATCCCCGAGCATTTAGTTTAGCTGATATTTAATGACTTGGATATCATGTTGATGGCTTAGGCGTCACGGTTTAAAGTGGGTGTGTGATTTTTGTGCTGAACATTCGGTAGAGGTGCAGTTAAAGGCATTTTAAAACTGGTTTAATAACATCTGTGGCTACGACAAAGACACCATTAACTCTTTAAAGTTTTTAATAGGCCCACATAAAACACGTCGAGGTTCCCCATCTGTCTCTTAACAGCTTTTTTTTTCCACTGAATTTAGGAATGTTTTTTCTGGTGGCAATTTCTGAAAATGGCCCTAATTAACTCTCCAGAGGGAAGCCATATCATTGCTGGCAACTCGGGGAGCTGTCCTGGCACTTAGCGGCTTTCCTGCTGGATTCTGAGTAGAGCCCGGCTGATTTCTACTTCTGACATTGTTGACTAACTGGGGTTTAAGTAGGCGAGTAGCAGCAGGGTGCTGCTAATCAAAGACACTTTATTATCAGTGATCATCAGCAAGTATGAGCAGATAAGTTTACCTGTCTGGACCATACAGGCATATCTTAACACAATGTCAACAATATCTCCCCAGATTTGACTTCAGACCTCAGTTGGCATATTAAATATTAAAGTTAATGACAGTGAAATTGGGAAAAACACTGAACGAGTATGGATTGCATTGAAGGGTTGCCAGGAGAGAGCCTCGTCCCTCTAAAACAAACACGACAGCACATTTTAGGTTTGAAAAGTTGCATCTGAACAAACCACAAGACTTCTGTAACAATGTCCTGAGTACAGAGAGACCAAAGCGAAGATGTTTTGACATAATGCACAGCTCCATGTTTGGCTGACACCAAACACAGCACAAACGTCTCATACCAACTGTGAAGCACTGCAGTTGAGGGGTGATTATTTGAAGGACCGGAGCACCTTGCAGTCACTGAGCCAACCTTTAACTCCTCTGTTTACCAATATATTCTACAGTCAAATAAACTGGCTGATGCAGCACTATAGTGATCCCAAGCACATCCTAAAAACTACAGCAGAACAGCTGAAGAAGAAAATCAAGGTGTTGCAATGACAGGGTCAAAGTCCCGAGTGAGATGTGAGGAGACGTTAAGAGAGCTGTGCATAAGTGAATTCCCTCAAACCTCAGTGAACTGATGCAACGTTACAAAGAAGAGTCGGCTGAAATTCCCCTAGATCCATGTGAAAGGTCGATAAACTCAAACAGAAACTGATTACTTTAAGTTATTGCTGCTAAAGGTGGTGTGTGCTTTCTTTTTCACTCGACTGTATGTCAGCGACTTGCAGTTTTGAGTTTTTATGCACGCTCATGAACCTTTTTATTTTATTGTCAGAGTGTAACAACTCTGCGTGTTCTTGTGGAAGAACAGTGAAACGTGTTTTCAGGCGTCACAAATGTTTTCGCCTGATCCCGGGGCCCAAACTGCACGAATGTGGCGTACACATCACGAGCTGAGAGCTGAATTCCTCCCTCTTCTCATACACTTACTTACTGCCACCCCATGAGCAGGACTAAGTCTGCCCCTTTCTCACCATGTCCTATCAGCTGCTAATCTCTTCCAACCACAGCAAGGAGGAGGTTCAGATCTCAAGGTTAAAACCATAATAGTCTCCTGTTCAGCATAACCCACAGTTATCTCTTTTTGTCTGTAATTGTGAGGATCCACTGCATGTTTAGTCTGGTTCGTTTTCCAGGAGCCCGGCATACCGGAAAATATTCCTACGTCTTTGTCATGTGGTATCCCAGCATTTAATTACTTTCTTTCCTTTTCTTTGCCATAAGGAGAGTTTACACTGGATTGTTCACTTTGGGAGGTTTAGCTGAAATTTCCTAAGCCCAGTCTTCTGTCTTTCCTCAAAGACACCTCCTTCCTCCTCCTCCTTCCCGCCTCCCTCCCCTGCTTCTTTCTCAGCCCTCTCCCACATTCAGGAAACTCAGGCCAAGCCAAAAACCCTGGTCCCTGTTTCCGGGAATGTGTCCCACAAAGCCACAGTATAGTAAGTTGGCTCTGACGTGGGAGCCATTGTTAAGAGCCCAGGGCCCCCATTGTCCGAGGGAGGAACAGCAGCACAAACAAAACCCCCTCTTCTGGAACGAGTAGGGAGGGACGAGCTGAGGGAGCCTCAGCTATTAATAAATGAACTGCCACCTTCACGTCCAGCTCCAGTGGGGGATATGCTTATAAAATCCAAGAAAGTGGGAGTACATGGAGCTTAGTGAGTTGTTTTATTGGCAAATTATTCTAAATTAGACATCAGCAAGTCTGTAGTTCCACTTAGGGATGGACTAAGTGGAACTACAGACTCATCGACAGTTGTTTTATCAAGTCAGAATTTTTAACCTACTTTAGAGACAGATCCCTGATAATTGGTACCAAGGTACCTCAAACAGTCAACTCAGTAACGTGTTAGTATAATTATCCCCTCAGGATGATCAGATAATTGCTTTAAAAATGCAAATAACTGGAGGTAAAAAAAAAAAAAAATAATAAAATAAAATAGCAGGTAGCTAAAATGCAAATGAGCACCTTCATGTTGTTGAAATGTAAAGTTAAAGTAATTATAACTACAGAGAATAGTTTAAAAAAATGTGATTCAGGCTTTAAACATGTTTATTTCTGCTCTGGTTGGGCTTTTTAACATTGGAGTCTATGGGGCGTTGACTCACTTTTGAGCCAGCCTCATGTGGCCACTAGAGGAATTACATATTTTGGCACGCTACTAGGATGAAGGGAAATGACTCGAGATGGCTTTATTTTGCCAAGATAATGAAACGCTGCACGTTTATTAAAACAGATATCTGTTAGAAGGATCTTTACAAGGCGGACAGAAACATTTAAACATCAATCAAAACATCTGCCCGACTCTGCTCCCACACTGCTTCCTGTGAAATAATTTAATGCATATATTGAATATGCAGATACCCATAAAAGCTAAATGAATGAATGCCATGATGAGCAGCCAAACATTTTATATATATTTATGTATTTCATATAAGAATGAAAAGAGCAACATCAGGATTTAATTTGGAAGGAAATTCGGAAAACAACTTCAGCTTTACTAACTGCAGCTAAACTTTGACTTTTAAGGGTTGATGTTTTGTCTCTTTAGGACTCCGAGCATTCTCAACAGGGAGCCCACAGACTGGAAGCCAAAGAATGAGAAACCCTCTCCTTCCCTCAAAAATGAGTTCGACCCAACAGGTAACAGACACAGATTTCTTTATATTCTTGGATTTGTTGATTACTTTTGTTTTCTCATTTGCTTCATTCATTGTTTGCAGAATTTTCACTTTGTGAATTCACTGTGAAGGTTTATCTGTAAATATCCGTCATAAAGGCTCGATGAATGACGACGGATCGATTCTTAGCTCGTAACGCAACTTTCTAATCTCAGCTTGCACCAATGTGCGGGTGCAGAAATGAATTGTTTTGCATCACTTGAACGTGCTGTGGTGGTAACTTCAAATTAAGTTTAAATATCTTTCTGCTTTCAATAATTGCACAGACAAAAAAATCAGATTATAGCGAAGTCTTTGCTCGGGGAAATAGCACAATAGTACGTAGACAAAGAGTTCCTGCTTCATCAGTGATGCAGCTAGCTTTCTTTTCTACACTTGTACTATTGAAGTGTTATTTTTCTAAGCCTGAACTTCTGCATCCAATTTGCTTAAAACTTTAAAACAGATATTGTCCACTAGAGTATTTATCACAGAGGCTGGCGGGGGAGCGAATAGAGATGGTGTGGGTGTAGGCTGCCCTCAGAAAGAAGTTGTGAAGGTGGTTGCCTGGGTTGCCGGGTTGACATTAATCCTTTCTGCCCTTTTGTTCACCCTGGAGTCTTGAGGCTCCTCATGGAGTCCAAAAGACAACCAATTATCCACTCAACTCTCTCTGATGGTTCTTTGAAGTGGGAGTAACCAGACAGGCAGATTGCACTAAACTTCCTCAGTGGCTGCAGGAAGAACATCAAGTTTTCCTGATCTAGCAGATGTTCTTTGCAGATTTCATGTTGCTGGTGAGGTAGAGTTGTAGGATTTTATTATAGACGCAGCTCGGCTTGCAAAAGGAGTCCCTGACCTCAGAGGACTGCAAAGATTGGTCAGATTAAAATGAGCACTACTAGCTGTGCTCCTGGCATGAGCTGATGGGCATTTCTGTGCCATTTATGCAACATTTAGTTCAATGTCTAATCAGGGCGTCGCTTTCTTACCACTTAAAAAACAAAACGTGGGTAAGACCAATGGGTGAGATTAAAGTTCTAGTCTACCTCATGCACTCCACAAATCACTTACCTTTATTTAACATTAAAAACAAAGTAATCAGAGTAATACTTATTCTACTCTGTTTGTAGCAGTTCTCATTTAAATATATTTTTGATGCATATTTGGGACGATACAAGTTAGGTTTTATATAACTTATATAATTTTTTTCTCACACAACACAGATCTCATTGTGAAATTACATCACTGGATAATAAAATCATGGTTGGTCTAGCACTGTACCGTTTTACTTGATCATCTTTATAAATATAGTGTATATAGTTAATAAAGAAGTCTGTGCATCTTTCATGTTAACAGGAATGAGGAACGAGGGGGATCATAGAGGATAACCACACTGCAAGTGCAGCATTTTAGTTACAGGCATTAGGTTGTTGCATTCAACCATTAGATCAGGGCTGTCAAACATAAGGCCCAGGGGCCAGTAGAAGTCCAGCATAAACTCCAATCCGTTCACCTGAATGGCTTTAAAAAATGTGAAGAAGAATAAATTTTGGACTGTTAAATGTATTTTTATAAGTTTTACAGCTTTTCCTGCTGATAGAGACCGCTCCTGTGGCCATTCATACTACACCAACGTAAATAAGTACTGGCTCTACAGTATAAAAAAGAAACTATTTCCTTTTATAGTTACAGTACAGTCTGGGCAATGAAACCAAAACATTTTGTTCTTGGAGTTTAATTCCAGAGAGTCGTGCTCACAGATTTGTTTATTTACTACAACAACATTTCTTTATCATAGAGAAACACTGTACTGGTAGTGTTGAAATCGCACTTCCTCTTCTTATATTAGGAAGTGTCAGTGATTAAATGTGGAGTTAAACTCCTTTTTAGTGACAGTTTCACTTCTTCTGCCCACTTAAGATCAAAATAGAGGTACGTGTGACCCACGATGGGAAATAAGTTTAACGTCTCTGCTTTAGATAGGGAGTGAGTTTAACCCTTTCATGCATGAATTATGACAACCACAATCAGGGTTTTTTTTTCTTAATTATTTTTATTCATCTTTAGGCATGAAAAAAGATTTCTGAACTTCATTTTTTAAACATGTACTTTTCAAAGGGTTTTTACATGTGAATGCACTTACTTACATATAAATTTGACAAATGAATAAATAACATACACTGTGTGTTGTGTTTATGTGCAAGTATACAATCAACACTGACACAAATACAATAAAACAGCCTTTGAATAGCTGTCCACTGTAGTGACCACTATGCGTGAAAAGGTTAAAAAGATTATTATTGTTTATTATTTCTATCTGTGTGATTCCTCCTGTCAGGTTTAAGCACTGTGCTGGTGTGCCTTTGGCCCAGAATCGTGTGCTACTGTAGTTTTAAGCTTTAGAATCGGGTTTGAGGCCTATTTGCCTACACATATCTACACAGATATTGTTATCTGCAAAAAACAAACAAAAGAATTCATCCTAAGTGCTGAGGTTTGGTATATGTTTATATAAAGTTGAGTGACATCTGCAGAATAAAGATAACTTCTGAGGTAAGTGAAGGAAGATTTGATAGAGGACCTAAAACTGACCCTTGTGGAACACCATACTTTTTTTTAAAGTAAAGTTGTTGCAACTTCAGATCTAAATGTGTTCCAGGTTATTATTTTAGATTATGTCTTCATGCAGAGCAAAGAACAATCAATACCATCACTATCACAGCTTTAAAACAATAAAGATGTGGTCTTGTATTTAAAATCTGTGTTAAAAAATCAGCAACAACAAATTTCCTCCAACAAGTTTTACTTTAGCAATATAAAGTTATAAGTACAGATGTTTTCTCTAATAATAAAACCAGGCCGTGATGTTAAAACAACAAATAGGCAACCAATAACTAAGCCACTGTCAACCTTCTGCTGCTCTGTGGTATCTATTTTGATTTTCTGGACTATTTTAAACATTATTCCAGTGAATTCTCTCCAAGAGATGAGAGGAAAAATGAAGACCTTTTAGCAGTGAGTCTCAGCAAAGACGGCAGGAGACTGTTTAAGAAACTATTTTCATTTCAGTCTTGTAATTTGTCACTTCCTGTGTGAATGCTTTTTTTTTTTCTCCCCCGCAGTACCGGATCGAGGTTTATAGTGCAAAAGAATGAGATTAAACTTCATATATTACTGCTCTCAGTAATTTTGTAATGTTGATATCAACCACATCCAGTAACAACAGCAGTGTGACGCTTTTATCTTTGTAACACAAACAAAATGCCACAAAACAAAGTCGTCCACAGTTTCTTTTTGTTTTTTGTTTTTTTTACCAATTTGGGTACCGTGTGTGTGTGTGCGTGACAGGTCTGGTCCAGCGCTGTGTGATAATCCAGAGAGATGAAAATGGCTTTGGGCTGACAGTAAGTGGAGACAACCCTGTGTTTGTGCAGCTGGTCAAAGAAGGTAAGACTTTCTGTCTTTCTTACTTCACACACACACACACACACACACACACACACACACACACACACACACACACACACACACACACACACACACTACATCTGACCATCTCCTGTCTTTTGCATTATAGATGGAGCTGCAATGCGAGCTGGTGTGCAGACAGGAGATAGGATCATTAAGGTTAGCTTCCTCATTTATTTTCTTCTTGCTTCTGGGATCAGCAAATGAACCTTAATGAGTCTAAAATACAAGAGCACATCAGCACCAATGTTTCCTTTGTTTTAAAACTTTTCTTTTTATTTAGTTCCCCAAAATAAAGATTCAAATCCAGTTCTTATGTCTTAGAAAATCTGTATTTATTGTACACAATGGGATGGGTATCAGGCATGTTTTCAGAGTGGTACTTCTGCTCCAATGTAGTATCTGTACAGTAAACCTCACAGATAATGACAAAGCGATTAGGACTGTGTAGTAAGTTGAATGCAGGATGTTTTTGTCCTACTGTTTCTTGACTTTGGCACAAACATTTTCAATGTTTTCCCAAGGAGTCATTGATAGTGTGCAATTTAAAACGCGCCACAGATAGTTTAGTTAGGACTAAAAAAGGAGATGGATAGTTCCGTAAGCGGTGATGTGCATTTATTGGAATGATGGAGGCAGTAAGAGCAGTTGCAAGATGACCCAAAAGGAAAGAAAAACCAGGAACAGCATCAGAAGGGAAGCTGTGATGGAGGTGGGTTGCACAAAGGCTTGCAGATGTGCAGCCATTATTGGACAGGCCGCTGCCTTGTTCACTGAAGGTTGCCACAGTTTCTAGCTCCACATGCTTGATTTGGCGGATTTTTACACCAGATGCCCTTCATGATGCAACCCCAAAGGGATTTTTGTGTTCTCCAGGGGTTATTAGGAAAGATAAAGTAGCTTAAATGGCGCTCCCTACGTGATTTGCTAATTTGATGCATATAAGGGTGTCAGTTGAGCCATTAGGTGAGGTGGGCTGGCCTTTAGATCAGCTGAGCTGCTGGGTTTGTGGCTGAATTTCACTTTTTACCTTCCTGAACTGATGCTGTGCTCGATTTTCAAACAATAGACAAACGAGAGCTACACAGAACAGTTTCATGCTTCATCACTCTTTCGCCTCTGCACAGCTGGGCAGTCACAATGAGACGTGGTAATGACTGGACTGATGACTTTAGAAAATTAAAAAGAATCTATAGGTTATTTGCACTGTAATAAAATATCAGAAAACCACCATGCAGTTCATCGTGTGACCTGTTCATGTTGTAAGTCCTGCTTTAGCTTTATCTCTATCCATTTTCTTCCATCCCAGCTGTTATGTGTTTTTACTTTTCTTAGAAATATTATAAAAACACAACAGCTCACATGCTTTCTCCATACTTTCCCATCTGATTTTTACTGGTCTATCAAAATAAAGGCTATAAAATGCCTGAAACAGCAACAGAATTAATAATAAAGTGATCAGCTAACCAAATGTTTTTCAGCCACTCCAGCTTTGTGTCACAAAGCTTCTTCCCTGTTATGAATGCATGCATACATTTCTTGTGGCTCTTTTTAAACATGTTCAGAAATAACAAATGAGCCACTAAAAGCACGGTGAAGTCAGTGAGATGGACTGATGTCCACGGATACTTTTGATGTTGTCATGGGGTTTGTTTAGAATAACAGAAAAACAGAATGATGCCACATAGAAACAGTGACTACCACGAATGAAATAAACAAAACAGTATAATTGTGGGTTTTAGGCTTTAAGGAACATATGTTGGTCAGTTGTAGAAATACTTTGCTAATGCTTTTTGTCTTTGGACAGGTCAACGGAACCTTAGTTACACATTCAAACCACCTAGAGGTTGTAAAGTTGATAAGATGTGAGTATGCTCTAATTATTTACATCCTTAGTTTGCTGTGTCACATCTGTTGTGTTGTCTGTGATTTACAAGACTCATTAAGAAGATATAATTAAGTCAACATAAACATTAGTTGAGTTGTTTTAATCCTAAAATACATTTGAGCAAAAAGATCTCAAGTGACTTATCAGAAACGATGAGACGTGTCAGCTAACATCGTATTATTATATATAGACTCGAAGCCAAAACACTGCCTTTATAAGTTATTGCAGCATAAGTGCTACAGTTAGCAGTTCAAACAGCACATTATCTCATGACATAACATATAAGCATACTTGCTCTGCAGATTGCTTATTGTTCCTCTAACGGTCTGACACATTGGGTTGTCTAAGCTGGTTCTGATGGCTTTTATATTCTCCCCTCCCTTCACCCTCCCTTCATTCCTTTCCCATGACTCCTCTCTGGCAGCGGGCTCCTATGTAGCCCTGACAGTGCTGGGGAGGCCTCCAGGGCTTCCTCAGATCCCCCTGGAAGAGGAGAAGGAAGGGAACAAGGAAGGAGGAGACACTCTCTCAGCACCCCACTCACCTGCACTGTCAGGTGGGGAGCAAGGCAGCTTCTTGACCAGCAGCACACCCTGTAGCCCTCAGGACAACACCACATCCTCCTCTCTGTCTGATGGGGTAAGAAAGAGGAGATTCCTGTTGTAAGCTGTGTAAGCAGCGTCACATTTAAAGAGTGTGTGGATGAATGCAAAAAAAAA